GGGTGTGATTGCATAGCTTTTAGGGCTTGGATTCCCCACTTGGTAGAAGCTTGTTATGATTAGGGGTGTACACGAGTCGATTTTGAACGAGTTTAGAGCTTGTTCGTGTTTGGCTCATTCGAAGTTTTTTTTTTATTCGAAATGAGTTCATGTTCGAAATAGCTCTTGAATAACGTGTTCATGTTCAGCTTGATATAAATTCATTTGTTTGGATTAGCTCATGTTTAGCTCGAATTTGAGCTCAATTAATTGAAAAACTCGTTTAACTTTTATTGAGCTGATTGTTGCCTACTTAATAAAATTCTACAAGATTTTAATATATTAAAATATCATCACGAAAACTATTCATTTTAAACAACATCTGCCACTATTCCATGGACTTCCGTACTTTTCAAATTGGCTAGCTTTATTTTTGCTTTTAAAGAGCATTTCAAACATATAAACTTTCAATCTGGGGCTCGAAGGTAGGCAGTGGGTGCTAGTTAGGCAGAGGGTGTGTAAAGTATAAAATTCAAGGGATATTTACATACATACCACCCAATATGTATGTATTTCCATGTCTAACACCTAATGACTAAATGCTAGGGGCGAGGGGTGGCCCACCAAATTTTTATTCATTTACATATATAACACCTAAATGCAAAAAATCCTAGGGACATTTACATATATACTTCCCAATTTTTATCTATTTACAGACCTAACACCTAAATTTTGTTTCATACATTTATACAAACCAAATTTTTGATAATCATATCCAAGATATCACTATTTCAACTTTTACATATTATTTATTTATTATTTAATTAATATGAGCCAAAATGAGCTTTACACAATCAAACAAATGTTTGTTCATGTTCAGCTCATTTATAAATTTAGTTCAAAACATTTGTTTATGTTCGACTCGTTTGCTTAATGAAGGAATCGAAAATGATCTGTTTAGTGAGCCGAACACAAGTTATTCATGAACGAGTTTTTTTGATAGCCCTAGCTGTGATGCCCTAATCTTATGTGAATTATATATTATGGCTAGAGGTGGTGAAGAGCGTTGGAAAGGTTGCATGATCAATGTGATTAGGCAAGTGGAGGTGGTCATGAGTAAAGGTGTAAATGAGTCAAATTGAGTTTTGGCTTTTTGAGGCAAGCTCTTTAATTTTTGGTTAGCCTGAACTAAAGTTTGAGCATGACTTAAGAAGAAAAAGTCAAGTTCAAGCTTGACTCCAGTACCTGAACTCGGTTAGAAAGCTCGAGCTTGACTTAATTGTTGATCTCAATTTAATTTGTAGATATCATAATTTTTAAAATTTTTATCAATTAATAATTAAACCTTGGTCTTAGTTTAATTGTTTTGACTCGATGAGCTATTGGGTTAAGTCATGCCCAACTCAATCTTATATAATAAAAGAGCTCAAATTTGATCTCGAGCTCAAACTCATGACACAATAAGCTTAGCTTGTGAGCTTGTTAATGAGTCAAGTTGCTCGGCTCACTTACATTCCTAGTCATGTGCAAAAGAAGATAGTGAAATTTTCATGAGGAGAGATGGAAGCAATGATCACAAACGGGAGGATTCGGCTCGGTTTTCTATGTGAAAGGAAGGGTCTGTTTGGTCTATTACACTTTTTTTGATGAACCAAACTTGGTAGATTAATATTGTCCTTGAAAGGTTGATTGTGCCTGCAACACTAGCCTACTTTTTTGTGTTCCTTATTATTTGACAGTAAATATGTTTTTTATTCAATTCTTCTTTGTCTGGTTCACCTTTTTCATTGCAGTGTCAGCGTATTTGGAGTTTCTGCTGAATATATGCAATGTTCCCATGATTGTAGAGGAAACAGTGTACCAACTATTTTGCTCTCCATGCAAAGACACCTGTATTCACAAGGTGGCCTTAAGGTAGTTTCGTCATCTCTATGTATCTGTTGATAGTTGTGGATGTTATTTCTTATAATATGCTTGTAATAAATTATAACTTCTGTAACTCTAGGCAGAAGGGATCTTCAGGATTAATGCAGAGAATGGACAAGAAACTCTTGTCAGAGAGCAACTAAACAAGGGCGTTGTGCCACATGGAGTTGATCTACACTGTCTTGCTGGTCTGATTAAGGTATAGTAAGGCCTAACAATAACAAACATATTGAAATTTTGAGAGGGACTTGAAATTTATATTTTTTAATAGAAGATTTGATTTGGTGTTAGGATCGTTATAATCTTGCTCAGAACATAAATTCTACTTGAAATGTTTAATACCCGAAACATGATAAAAAAAGTTGTGGTATTCTTTACCTACATAATCCTGTGATGGTTTTTTGCATCTTAGGCTGTTGGATCAGAAGGTGGCGGTTTTCATTATTTATTTTGCCTTCATGACCTCCTGACACTTTTCTTATATGTTTTTGCAATTTCACAAGTATTTTCCACCTCCTAAGTTGATGACATAGTCTGCTCAATCCGTTCTTTAAAATTTAAGCCTACCTGACGTAACAACAATATTGTGATATTGTCTTGCATTTTTTTGTGACTTTCTAGGCAACATTGTTATGCTTTTAACTTCTATAGAAGCTGTACCAATTGTTCATTCCAAATTTGTCTATCTAAATAATTTTCTAAAGCCTATTATGAGATTGTAAAATCCTTTCTTCACGTGCTTTTTTTCTCACGAAGCAGCGGCGGTCGTGGATTGGCGTAAAGAGACCCAAAACTCCCAGCTTTTCTCTTCGATCCTTTGAAGCAGTCGCGGTTAGAGCCAACAGAGACATACACAGAGGGGCAGGAGCCAATTCGGTGGTCTTTCATACGTAGCAATCTTGTAGTTTCCTTCTCAGCAAACTATAGACATGAGAAACACTGTGGAATTGCGGCTCAGGAGTGTGGAAGGCAGTGGAGCGGGGCTTCATTTCTGGTAGTCTTTCGTACGCATCAGTCTCGTGATTGCCTTCTCAACAGACTGTACCCGCAAGAAATTGCGGGTTGGGAGTGACGAAGGCAAAGAAGCAGGTTCGTTTCTGGAATTACACTCGACGGAAGGGAGGCGAAGGATCGAAGTGGCTGCAGTTTTGCTTGCGGGGCAGAGGGGTTGAGACTTCGTGCGAGCTAAGGCAAAACGGATCATGTGAACTTGCAGGAAAGAAGTCTCATGTGATCTTAATGATCTCAATTTGGATTCTTGTGGTGGTGAATGTGAGGAGACGGATATAGTGCGGGAGATAAAGGATTAGAACTTCTGGAGAAGATAGATCTCGAAATTCTGAAGATTTTGGTTGGGCTCATATAGGGAGCTAGCATCTCGACGGGAGTCGTTTCACCAGCATGTGCTCTAAGTCAGGTGAAGCTAGATCTCCCTCTGGTGGATTTGAAACTTGATGGACCGACTACAAATCTGAGTTAGTCACGTCGGATCGAGGTTGCCCTAGTAGGGAAGAGATTTGAGGGATATCTGACGCGGGTCAAGCCAAAGAGTGACAGTGCTTAGAGGGATGAGCGGAGGACCACACTTACCTTGCTTTACACCTGGCTACTCAACTCGACGATTTTATTAATTGCCTCATCAATAGATGACATTTGAATGGTGAGCGACATCTAGACGAAGTTTAAGAAGATCTTTGTTTGAGTTGAAAACAACATAAGGGTGTTCCAGATTCAGCTTGAGATAGAGGCAATGTTCAAGGTGATGGGTCGATTCAGGAATACTTCATAGAATTGGAGTGACTATGAGCAGATCTTGATTATTTCTCGCCGATCTCAAGTTTTGGTGATTCATAGTGCAAGAAATGAGACATTTACACAAATGAGAACTACGCAGTTTCTGGCCCATTTGAACCCGACCTTTGATCAAAGGAGATCTGGCCTCCTAGCTCGAGCAACTATCCCTTCACTGGATGATGTTGCAGTGATACAAGATTGTTGCGTGAAGCTACACTCTGAGTCGAGTGGACTTTCGGGTGCGCGAACAACTTTGGATGCCTCGAGCTTAGGTATGATTTGTGTCTAGAGAGAAACTCGCAAGTGCTACAACTGTGGTGAAGTTAAGCATCTTAGCAAGATTTGTGCTAGACCACCAAAAAAGAGAGAGATAGTTGAACGTGGACAGGGTGGAGGTCATGGCCGTGGTCATGGTGGTTGAAAAGGTGGAAATCGGGGCTGCCAGGAAAATCTGATGTTAGCAGATGAGGGAGAGGCAAGTTTGTTATTTACCAATGAGGATTATGAGTGTCTCAAGTTATTAAAGAGGAAGAAAAAAGTAGCAGGAGATGGGGCTGAGAAGGCTTCCAACCAGTCTTCATTAAAGGGTAACATTGTCACTTTTGCTCACTCCGACAAAGGTACTTTTGATACACACGCTCTTGCCTTTATTTCCACCACAGGATCATCAGAATGGACAGTATATTTTGGTGTATCTTGACATGTGACAGGTACTGCTTGAGAGTTTTCTTCCTATACTCCCCTAATAGTACTAGAGAGCATCTAGATTGTTGATAGTACAACACAGTCTGTAGTTAGTAAGGGTACAGTGAGGGGTACCAATTATATGACTTTGTCCAATGTTTCACATGCTCCTTTTTCGGTGAATTTTTTAACCGTTAGTATTATAATTCTTCAACTAAAATGTATTATTTCTTTCGATATTCCTTAAGTGATCTTTCAAGAGAAAGGAACTAGCTGGACACTTAGGACTGAAATCTGGCATAGTGGACTCTATTACTTGGACCTGGAGGGGATGATTCAGCTTTGACATCCGTGGTAGAGTGTCGGAGTAGGAGAATGTAGGAGTGTGGAGTATGTGTTATCGCTACATTACACATATGAGACACTCTTATTTTAGTTTATTGAGTCGATTATATCATTCTTTATATGAAAAGGCAAATAAACAAAAGTTTGTTTATGATGCGTGTGAGTTTGACAAACTTTCTTGGAGCTGTTATGTCAGTTCTAGGAATAGAAGTTCTAGTATTTTTGACTTGATAAATTCTGATGTATGGGGTATTATTCTACAAGTTTTATGATTGGTTATCGATATTTTGTGATGTTGATTGATTATTTTTCTCGTGTTATTTGGTTATATTTGATAAAAATATGGGTGATGTGTTTGCTTTCTCTAAAGGCTTCCACATGACAATCCAGACTCAATATGTTGCAGTAATGAAGGTATTGAGGTCTGATAATAGGATAAAGTATACTGATAAAACATTTGAGGAATACTTGTCAACCCAGAGGATACAACATAAAATCACATGTCCATACACACTGAAACAAAATGGAGTAGTAGAGAGGAAGAATAAATATATTGTAGAGGTAGCCTGAAGCATGATGTTCTCAATGAATGTCTCAAAACACTTGTGGGGGCAAGCAATTTTGACAGTTGGATGTCCTTGAGAGCGTTGTATTGGAAGTCACCTTATCAAATGTCGAAAGAAGATAATAGTGGGATCCTTCTATTGAAGGTATTTGAATGTGTATGTTTTTTGAAAAATAATAGACCATTAGTAAAGAAGATGGATCTCAGAGCTGTGAAATACGTGTTCGTAGGTTATTCTGCTATCCAGAAAAGTATGTCTGCTGGAGCCCTATTGAGAAGACTGTTTGTGAGCATGGATGTGTCATTTAGAGAATTCGAGCCTTACTACACCCAAGATGTGGCCTCACCCTTCGGTGACTAGCCAGATGCTAGAGATTGCTAGAGATATGAGGTAATGGGGGGTGAGTAGCAATGGTGAGAGAGTGATACCAGTGAGTGCACTACATTTTTCTATGATGTGGGATGAATCGGTTAAAGAATCGAAAAATGAGGAGTGAACGCATAGGTCAGGCTGAAGATGAGCTAAGGGTGTATACACGGAGACAGTCAAAATGAAGAAACGGTACCTGCAGTTCCACTTATGCTCGCTAGTCCCTTGTTGCATATATGCGTCATTTGGAGAATTCAAATCGTACTACACCCAAGATGTGACCTCACCCTTCGGTGACTAGCCAGATGCTAGTGATATGAGCTAGGGGGGTAAGTAGCAATGGTGAGAGAGTGATACCATTGGGTGCACTACCTTTTTCTATGATGTGGGATGAATCAGTTAAAGAATCGAAAAATGAGGAGTGAACGCAGAGGTCAGGATGAAGATGAGCTAAGGGTGTATACACGGAGACAAAGGCAAAATGAAGAAACGTTGCCTGCAGTTCCACTTATGCTCGCTACTCCCTTGTCTCGGTCTTCCCCGACGCTTAAGACACCTACATCATCCACCTCCGACTCAGAACTCCCAGGTGATATGATTCCTCCTTCTCCTTCCCTTAACTTTAAGGAGGACCTCTCACAACAATGTGGGATATCCTCCCGATCGTTTTGGGTGGAAACATGACATTGCTAACTTTGTTTCATGTTCTAACATGACAACTTTATATGGAGCATTCATTGCATCTTTAGACACTGCCTTTATACCTAAGTGTTGGCAGATTGCTAAGGAGGATCCCAGATGGAAAGAGGTTATGCATGAAGAGCTAAGGGCTCTTGATAAAAATTGAACATGGACATAGTGCCACTACCAACAGAAATAAGATAGTTGGGTGCAAGTGGATCTTCACATTGAAGCAAATTTTTGAAGGGAAGGTGGAGTTGTATTAAACACGATTAGTGGTGAAAGGTTAAGTCACACATATGACATTGATTATGATGAAACATTTGCTCTAGTAGCAAAGATGAGTACAATGATGACGCTGGTTTCTCTAGGAGTGAATAATTGGTGGAGATTACACCAATTTGATGTGAAGAATGCATTTATTCATGGTGAGTAATTGGAGGAGGTATATATGGAGATACCACCAGGATTTAGTATAGTTCAGACAGTGGGTAAGGTGTGTAGGCTCAATAAGTTGTTGTATGACTTAAAGCAGCCTCCTCGAGTCTAGTTTGACAAGTTTAAAAACTATGTTGGGATATCAGTAGATCAATGCAAACTATACTGTGTTCTTTCGACAACATGAATGTCACACTATTATACTTGTTGTATATGTTGATAACTTCATGCTCACCCGGTGATGATTAGACAAAGATTCTCAATTAAAGGTAAGATTGGACAATGAATTTGTGGTTAATGATCTTGGACAACTCAGATATTTTCTTAGGATTGAAGTGGCCCGTGGACCTGAGGGAATTGTCTTATCCTATAGAAAGTATGTACTAGATCTCCTCACAGAAACAAACATGCTGAGGTGCAAACCGACAGTCTCTCCAATTGACCAAAAGTCCAAGTTAAATGCAAAGGCAGGAGAACTGGTTGATCCTGAGATGTAATAAAGATTGGTGGACCGTCTGATCTATCTGTGCTACACTCAACTTGACATCTCTTTTGCAGTGAGCGTGGTGAGCCGCTTCATGAATGGTTCAAGGAAGGGCAATATGAATGTAGTGTATCAGATTCTGAGATACTTAAATATTGCACCAGAGAAGGGGTTGATTTTCAGGAAGAATGATCATGTGGACATTGAGGGCTTTTGTGACGCTGACTGGGCGAGTTGTGCAGTTGACAGAAGATCCTCCTTACGATAGTACATGTTCGTAGGGGACAACTTGATCACTTGGAAGAGTAAGAAATAGTCTGTAGTAGCGAGGTCAACACCAGAAACAAAGTATAGGGTCATGTCCTTAGAAGTTGCCGAGATGATGTAGCTGAGAGCCTTGTTGAGCGAGCTCAAGGTGGACCAAGGAACTCAAATGATTTTGTGGTGCCAAAACAACTCAGCAATCAACATTGCCAACAACCCGGTGCAACATGATAAAACCAAACATGTGGAGATTGATAGATTCTCCATCAAGGAAAAATTGAATAACGGGTTATTGGAGCTAAGTCATGTAGTCATTGGAGAACAAGTGGCTAACTGCCTCACTAAAGAACTTAGTTCATTAGATTTGTCTATGTTTTGTGACAGGATGGACTTATTGGATTTATTTTGCCCACCTTGAGGGGGAATGTCGAGAATCGGACCTTATTTAGGGTCCTATTGGTAAAAAGGAAATATTGAAGAAGACTTGGGGTTCATTTGTAAAATATTATAATACCCTATTTAAGCTCATGTTATGATTGTACATATTAGATTTTGAGAAAACAATTTTCAATTCTCATTAAGATCCTTACTTGATTATCATTCTAATTTGCAGTTCAAATTTGTGATGAAAAGTTTGGCCTGGGTAAATTATTTTACATTTTTAGTTTGGCTCAGGTTAATCCTTGTCAAAACCAGTTTAAAGGTTTGTGCTATTTTCATCTTGTTTGAGGTGACAGCTACGTGATTTCTGGTTGTGAGTTTCTTAGGATTTTGGGTTGTTCTCAAGACTTTTAGCTTAGGTGCAAAGGTTTTCTAATTGTGACTTAGATATTAAGGTTTTTTACTTTCAGTAACTATATCCAGATTCTGCAAATTGAACTAGATTATTATCAGGTCATTTTTATTTGATTTCAATGACAGGTCATCATGTTTTAAGAACATTTCATATACATAACTGATGGACCTTATGAGAAAATTTTGGAAGTTGTTATCTTGGTTCTCATCTACCCTATACGCTTATATTTCTTAGATAAGAGTTAGTAAATTAATTACAATATTAGCTTTGGTCGTGTTAGAAGAAGCACTGTCTTACACGTAACCTGTGCTATGCCAGAATGTGTTTCTAATGTGTATGCACACCCGTAGACGGGGAGGGGGTTGTTTATGCATCTTTCTTTAATTCTCTTATTTCTCTCTTTTTTAATTTTTTTTTATTATTTATTTTGGTTCAGTCCTCTAAACTTACATTAAAGGATTCCTAATTAATTAATTCTTTCCTTGATAGTTTTGTACATTTCAATCAAACATTATAATTCTTACCAACATTTAAATTGTCTTTAGATCTGCCAGTCACTTCAGTGCTATGAAACAAGTTTACATTAATTTAAATTTAGAATTGGCACAATATTGTAAATTGGCTATTTTCATTCAATTTGGGTCATGCCTTGATGATACGACTCAAGTATTACTTATTAGAGGTGGAGTTTAAAAGAAATTCCTAAACAATAACTTATTCAATACAATACTTTGAATACAAAGTCAGTGATACTTTTTTTTTAATTTATTTTTGTTCCGTCAATGTGGCCGAACAAGAAAGATCATTATGTTACAAGATAATGCTTTATTTCGACAAATGTAGTATATGTTTCAAAATGATTCGATGAAGTACAATCACTTTAGAACACCTTTTATGTTTATGTCAGGTACGTGATGGGTACATACACCCTTTGGACATGACCTACTAATTATGACACACGCTTGAAATTGTGTCTATGATATATATTGCTAAATAGGATGTTGAATGTGGGGTAGATATCCTAAAACAAAAAATTGATGTGTATGAGACATAATTTTAACATTTTGGCAGTTGTTATTTTACAGTGTAGCTCACAATTGATTTGATTTACTCAAAATTGTAAACTCACTTTGACAACCCATTGGTTTTGTTGGTTGGTTTCTCGCCTGTTTAATGTTTGTAAAAGTTCTATCCTATAGCCTGTGATCTTTTTTGTAAAAGTTATATTCTATTGTCTGTGTTTGTAATAATTTAACATTTTGGCAGTTATTATTTTGTGGCGTAGCTAACAATTGATTCGATTTATTCAAAATTATAAACTGACTTTGGCAACACATTAATTTTGTTGGTTGGGTTCTCTCTTGTTTAGTGTTTTTAAAAGTTCTATCCTATTGTCTATGATCTTCTTTCTTTTCTTTTAGCCCTTACTACTCCTTAGCTTGATATTTGTTTAGCCTTTATTGTTGATCTTGTTGTGGTGCTATAGTGTACGTCAGATTCTCTCCATAACCTTTTTGCAATGCCATGGTACATTCACTTGGATTCAATTGCTCCTCTTTTTTTTTTCTCTCCTTTGTACAAGTGCGGTTAATGGCTTTAAATTTTCTCCCACTATCCAAATTTTTGTATCTACGATTCTTTCTTGATTTATTTTCCTCTCAACATAGAGATTTTCTTACAATTTGTAATGTTTTTTTAATCATTAAACTTTTTATGGGAAATATATGGTGTTATGTTTCATTTTATAGTATTTTTAGTATAAAACTGTGACATTAAGTGCTCTAGTTATATATTTTATGTTAATAAATTATGAAAGAGAATATTGTATGCATGATAAGTTGCATCCTATTTTTTGTAGTTATATCAAATTGTTGTATCCACGTCATATCCATTCTTTGTTTTGGGTATATATTTCATTGTATATTATTGCATTTGCTTGTTTATGCTTGGGTGAATAACCCTTGGACTCTAGATGGGTAACCCTTGCTGAATTCTCTTGGTACCTGATGGGAGCATCATTGTCTTTGGGCTCTTTTGAGCCTACAATTCTGTTGATATTTATTATATAATCAAGAGTGTTTCGTATGATAGGAAAACTATGCTCCGAGGACCAAGAAACAATTTCATAACTTATTAAAGGATAAGAATTATATTCTGGAGTTTGGAATAATGATTAAATACAAATCTCATTTGGAGCCAACACAAAAGCACTTTCATTTAGATTCTGTTTAGGAGGTCGAAAATTCATACAAAACTGTGTACATTAAGAGTTATGGCTTTTATATTTGAATGGCTCCTGGTTTTGAGTTTGTACGCTTTGCTGGTGAATTTTTATGATGATCTATACGGATCATGAAATTAATGATGATAAAAATGGTTATTTCACATCTGTTAGCTATACCTTATGTATATCTTTTATTTACTGGTGAAATTTTAAGATTTAATAGCTTACTGGTAAAGACGCTCCCCTTTCTCTGAAGCAACTGACAGGATTTTCTTATTATCGATAGGCATGGTTTAGAGAACTTCCGAATGGGGTTCTCGACTCGCTTACACCGGAGCAAGTCATGCACTGTAACACCCAGGAAGATTGTTATCAACTTGTACATGCTCTGCCACGCACCGAAGCAGCTTTGCTTGACTGGGCCATTAATTTGATGGCAGATGTTGTGGAGCATGAACATTACAATAAGATGAACGCTCGAAGTATAGCCATGGTTTTTGCTCCTAACATGACTCAGGTTGAGTATATTTTGCTGATCTCCTATATAAACTTTCTTCATCATTTTAAAATCTTAAAAATTTTATTATCTTTTTAGTTGTGTTTTCCCAGATGTCGGATCCTTTGACAGCACTAATACATGCGGTTCAAGTAATGAACTTTCTAAAGGCCCTAGTTGTACAGAAGCTCGGAGAAAGAGAGAATGAAGCAGCACATGCGAAGCAATTCCATCCCCATGATTTCTCAAATGTTGCAGAGATTTCTTTCATGGATGTGGACCGAGGAACTTCTACGTTAGGTGCCTCAAAAGTCAAACCTTTCAGCAACTTATGTAACATAGAAGATGGTTCAGACAGTGATGCCAATGAGAGTTTTCGGAGCTTTGAAAAGAGAAGTGACGTTGACGACGGCGAATTTATTTCCGGACAATGTTCTCCTGCTATAAGTGATTTTGATGCCGCGAAAGATGGAATTAAGTGCAGAAATGGTAATGGTGATGCAGAAGGTTTATTGAATAGACTGAATCTTAGGAAGGGAGTGCAGAAGCTTTACAGTCATCCCGTGTTTCAGTTGAGTAGATCAAGTAAGAAGGCTGGAGAAATTGAAGCTGTTTCTGGTTAACATAACCTTATAGTGGGAGAACATTTTCCCTCAATCGGAGCTGACTTTGTTACATGAACAAAAGGTAATAAGACAATGTTTTTGGATTTGTATCAGGAGTGTATTTAGTGAGAGTGTTTGAGTTTTTTTAGTTATGGCTACATAGAAAAGCAAAAGGAAATTTTTAATTGTATAGTGTTCATTATTATTAAACGGTCGCGTGATGTTCAAACTTGCCGATGGCATCTTTTAGGGTTTGTGTGATAATGGAATAATTTGTTTCAGGTGTTGATTTTCTATATTCAATGTTCGATTTGCAATTTCTTACTAGTTGATATTATTTTTACGAACAAATGTTGTTCTTCGGCGAATGTCAAAAATTAAATCATCATAACCTTCAGTTTTGCTCCACTTGTGAGCAAAGTTTGGTTGTCTAGAGGCTTTACAATGTTTGAGGTTGTAAATTATTTATGTGAACATATAGGACAGATGTCTGAAACATGATATTATGATATTAGAGATACCATAACTTGATATGATGCCAAGGTAACTGCATGAATCAAATTATGGTGGCCCAAGGATTAATTTGGACAGGCAGCTTGCATGCGGTGTCCGATCCTGACCGTAAATCAGTTGATCTACGGTCAGGATGTATTTCAGTGGGTCTCACCTAAATTTTTTTTTTTAAAAAAAAAAACTGAAATATATTCTTACCATAGATCACCGTGATCTACGGTCAGGATCGGACACCGCATGCAGAGATGCATGTGGTGTCCGTATGCAATGATTTCTCCTTCTCAGGCCTATGAGTTTTGGAGAAAATTACTAGGCTTGGCTCAAAATCTGAAATTCCATTTATCATACCACATTGGAATTGGTTGTTACTAGCTCTTTTTTGTTTTGGGAACAAGATAAACATCTTAATATAACTTTTGTAGCTCATGTGCATTCAATGATTGCTCTTCAATTTTTTATTACTAGGAATGTATAAAACCTATCCATCATCTTCTATTTGGTTGTTAAAAAGGACAAATTAAAAAAAAAAATAGAATATTAAAATTTTTAATATTAAAAATAATAAATGAAAAATTATAAAATTGATGAAATTTTCTTGTTGCATAACATGTGATGAAGTCTTCCGGTTACATGGTGATTTTGCCATTAGTTTTTATTTATTTATTTATTTTGAGACAATCACTGGCTAAGAATCAATGAACTCGCACGGAAATGAGAAAATAATAAGAGTTCTTCAAAATAATCAATTGTTCAAAAGAGTAACTAATTTGGTGCTTTATAAAAATTATTTAAAAATGCTTACAAAAATAATGTTGAAGTTCTAGTCATATTTAGTTTACACTACAAATTTATAGACAAGTAAAGTAAAATTGTCCATTTTGCATGAACTTTAAATCACCAAATAAAATTGTCACATATCTTGATATGATGTTTCTTTATGTGCCAAAAACTTATCATGTATGACAAGAATGACATGAAAGTAAGTAAGGAAATTTATAGCTAGTTATATCTAAGTTCAGAGCCGCCATTAAAGTAAAAACACTCGGTTTGAAGAACTACTTTGACATTCAAAGATCGATAACTTTGGTTAATTTTTTGGCCATTATTTTGGGCTCTCTTCCTCCCTTTCATTTCGAAGATCACACCCACAGTTTAAAATTAATATTTGCTTTTGATGTTTTAGGGTGCAGATGTTGCTTACTTGTGAGGGCAATAATTGAACCTAATTTTTTTTGTTATTCTCGACTTAAAAAATCTAGCTTTAAATTCTTAGCCCTTTTATTATTTGAGTGAGATTCACCCTGACTCATAAAATTAAAAATTAACTAATTACTAAGCACTTGTTGAATGAAAAGGGTTGAATAACTTCATATAACAAATGGCTTAAGAATAAGAAATCAACTAAGCATCTGAGAATGTGAGAGCTATTAGTAAAATTCTTGCACTAAATTCATTTTCTCAGGATCATTCTCTAACAATCATTTTGTCCATCCTTCTCAAGTAATCATTCACGTGTTATAATTATTCTAAGATGACACACTTATTTGGTTGCTAACCCTATAATAACCTTTCAAGATCTTTGAAATGCTCCATAATTTTTTTTAGAAATACACCAAGACCATATTATAGAAATGAATAATGTCATCCTTAACGAATTAATTTACAGAGAACCTATTTGAGCTTCTTTGAGCAGGGAAGGGCAAGTTGAGCTATAGTAAATAGTCGAAGAGAGATTTTATGGAGAATTTCAATTAGATTTTCTATGTTTCTTCAAATGATTTATGTATGAGACCAGCATATGCAACTTTTCATGTGTCAACGCGAATTCAACTAGTGACTTCCTATTTATTGACAAGGATAATTTCCTATGTAGGACAATTATATAGAGAGCCTATATACTAAACTCGATATTGCTATGCAGTAGCGAGTTAGACCTATATTTAGCAACTAGTCATAGGAAATATGGGGTGGGTCTATTATGAGGACCAGTACTTTTGTTAGTTCATTTGGCAAGAATCTCGAGTCAACCAATGAATACTCGCAAGTTGATTGCTTCGTTAGAGCTTATAATTCGGATTAATGGATAACATTAATGTGTCCCTCTACTTCTCAAGTTAGATCTAATCTTTTTGGGTGCTCTTGGCATTAAATAGTTTTAGAACTTTGCAAGTTCAAAAGTTGTTGTTTCTAATTGATTCAAAATCAGTAACTTTTGAAGTAAATTCAGAATAAAATTCTGAATTTGTAAGTTTCCAAATTGCCGACCCATCCGATTTTGATTTGCAAGACTTTGCACATCAACTAACGCGACAAAATCTGGTCGGTGAGGCTGCAAGCAAATGAAATGTATTAGAACTTTAATTAATGGGCGGCACCGAGGATGAATTTCTAGACAAAGAAATTCTAGCTTTTAATGTTCCGCGCAACCTTTTTTTGTTTTCAAAGTGTTAAGATATATATTCTGATACTTCAAGACAAGTTTTTCCCGGCCGAGTTTGTCTTCTTGTTGAATCAGATGATTAGATGATATATATATATATTCTGTTGGTTGACATTCTTAGCATAAAACCCCTCAACTAGGAGAAATTTTTTCATGCGGAGTAGATACACAGTTCTACGTGCGGACTCCAGTAATGAGCCGCCATATGTGTTATATAAATATATGTGTTATTGGAGTGAAATCTCGGAGGTTACTAAAGAGAGTTATTGGGAGGTTATTGACAGGTTATTGGGGCATTAACTTCAAATATGTTGCAATAACTTCAATAACCCCACTATAACATTCTTCGTTCCACTCCAATAGCCTTCTCAGTTCTATTTCAATAAACCCCTACATTAACCCCAGCAATATCACGCCAATAGCCTCATAATAACCTCCACGTGGCGGCATATTATTGGAAGCCCACACGTAGAACTGCGTACATCCTCCGTATGGAAAATTTTCTTCTCAACTAGGGGGTTCCAATCCCCTTCAGTGATGTGAGCCTTAACGAAGTGATACTCGAATAATTAAACACATTAAGAGTAGCCAGAGACTCGTATAATAGCTTTTGACCATATCTTTGATATATATATATATATATATATATATATATATATA